GTTCAGATCATCAGGAAGTTTTGCTTTGTCAATGGGCCACAGAATGTTGGCCTTAATTCCATTGCACATGCTGTAGGGTTGTTCTTCACAAAGTGTTCTTCAATATGCTGTTTGTATTTGCATTTGGTCTCTCAGACGATTTTCTTAAGGTTCCCACGTCCTGCTTTGTAGGCTTACATGTTGCCAGACCTGAACACCATGTCTCATTCTCTCAGCAGAGCCCACACACAGATGTTCATCCAAGAATGAATGTATCCCAGGCCTGCTGATGTTTATTCCTCCAGATCTGCTTCCTGTGCGAACACATCCCAGTCTCTGCTATCGCGACAGTCCTGCAGCATAGAGCTGGCTTCCTCAGACCGTATCTGAATGGTTTTGGTAGGTTTGTGGCTTGTAGGATGGAGTCAGTGTCAGGGAGACGTGATCTGAGAGAAGGTGGATTTGGGTGTGGGCGACGTGGGCAGCCGTCCTGGGCGGCACGGGGCACCTGCAGAAAAACAAAAAAAAAAGGAAACAGAATGGTACCTTTATAAGATCAGTTTTGATATCGCTAATTTTTACATCAACTCAATGATATCATGTTACCCAGTGCGTCAGAGTGAGTGCACTAAGTCTTTTGTGTGAGCCTCTGTCTAAGTACATACAGAGCTCTTACAAAGTAAATAAAAATACTCGTGGAAGTTAACTTGTGGCTGGAACGTGCCACAAATAACATAAGTGCCGGTTTTCACTTACATATACTCTTGTCTTATGGAAGAAATAGGTTAAAAATGGTAGAAATAGTACAGAGAGTATATCAAAAATGGAAATAAACAATAAATATCAAAATTAAGCAAAACCAACAATTTCTTCACTACAAAATAGTGCACAAGAGAACATAATAAAAAAAAAATCAAATACAATTTCAACAAAAGTTCAATGAAAATGTGGAAATGAGGGTGACAAGAACATCTTAGGTAGAGCAAGTTGTAACTGACATACTGGTGAAGCATATGGTTCTTTCAATTAGAGAACTAGGCTCACACCTTAAGATTTTTGGTGAAGAAGACTAGCTTATTAACCGTGGCTGGTGTCAAAAGAGACCTCGAGATCCTGCAGTTTGGCACTGGGTCTGAATTGACGTCCAAGCTGATCCCACACATGTTCGATTGGGGAAAGATTGGGGANATCCCACACATGTTCGATTGGGGAAAGATTGGGGAACCTAGCTGGCCATAGGTGGACCTCAACATGACGCAGGCAGTCCATAGACACACATTCTGTGTGTAGACAGGCGTTGTCTTGTTGAAAGTCTGTACCAGGGTGCTGTCTCAGGAGGGGTAAGACATGCGGACGCAGGATGTCACTGACTGTGTTGTCAGGGCCCCCAGAATCACTACCAGAGATGACCTGAAGTCATACCCCATGGCTCCCCACACCATGATGGCAGGAGTAACGCCGATG